AATATCTAACGCCTACTATTTCAAACATACGTATGGGTCGCTCGGTTGGCAAAAACGTTTTGAATTGAATCGCACATACAGATGCGCGCGTACGCGTAGATGTTGCCCATATATCACATTCATTTTTGGATAATTTCAAATGAAAGTGGAAGCCTCATTTACTCGTATTATCAAAAAATGCAATAATGCGATATATACTCATTTATATACTTGAACTTAAATATAAAATTTGGATACTCTTTGAAAAATAACCCCGTAGATTAATAAAGAGAATAAAAACAAATACAAATAAATAATACTCAGGGTGTTTCCCCATAGTAATGATCTTTACTAGCTACTGGTGTTTACTTATAATTGATAGTTTAAAAAAAAGAAATAATCTTTAAAATTCGTTTCGCTAATTCAACGTTCGATATATGTGAGCGTGCCTGTTGGACGGTATTGACCTCAATTTGGGAAATTACTCAGTAACGTGGGATAAAGAAATAGTTTTTAACGTATTATTGGCTTAGAACTGGTTTTATTTTTTTATTATTTATATTAATATAACGTTAACTCCACACTAAGATTTCGCCTGTATTGTTGGGATAGGAATTAAAAAAAATGCATTATAAGCACTTATTTACCGCGAGCTGTGCGGAAAAAAATCATGAGGACTTGCACCTCCGAGGATTTTGTTTTTATATTATATTTCAAAGGAATGAAGGCCATGAACACGCACTGTAGCATGGACTAGTGGCTCAATAACTCACTCAGAAATGCGGGTAGGATGGTGCACAACAGTAGGACGGATACATATATAGTTTACATTTACTTTAAATACACAACATTTTTTTCAATCAGGAACATTTAAAAATTTTAGAGCTATTACTTAATTTTTCGACATGTATAAATTTATTCTGGGGTTAAGTATATTCTGATCATATAACATAACCAATGTAACACGTTTTGTGATAAGGCTTAAATGTGCACCAATTTATCAAAAATATGAGAACAGTTACAATAAAAAATTAAAAATTATAGCGTAAAATAGTAGTATAATGCTGCTGTGTTTCGTATGGTGAGTGTAGAGAACCGGAGACCCTTTTTACTGGAAACGATGGCACACCATCTTAGTCCTCACGGGTGATAATATAGATAAAATATACATGTATATTGAAATAATACTGGCTTTTACGGAATTATTCGCGTATATTTAACTTTTTAAACACCCGACGTTTCGAACGCTTTACAGCACTCATGGTCACGGGCAGGACTGAGAGTGACCATGAGTGCTGTAAAGCGTTCGAAACGTCGGGTGTTTAAAAAGTTAAATATACGCGAATAATTCCGTAAAAGCTAGTATTATTTCAATGTGTAGTGTTCGCGTAAATATAAGAAATCATTATATACATGTATATGTCTATGGGCCACAGCAACCACTTACCATCAGGTGGACTGTGTGCTCGTTTGTTACCTTATCCTACAAAAAAATTTTAAGAGGCTTCAGTTTGTATTTTGTACTCGGATCAGGATTAAAATCTATTACATCTGAGTTGATCATTGCTTCCATTGATTGTATTGGCAAAAAAGGAGATACCTGCGGAATTTTTTTGGCCGTTTTTTTCTGGTCAGTAGAATCTCATAAAAAACGGCTGTAGATTTCGCGGGTTTAGAAAAATGACTTTGACCAATGAAATTTATTTTCTTGCGTCGAAGAAATAAAGATATTTTATTTCATTTCCGATAAATGGCGGTATAACCATCTCATTTGCGTTAGACGTAAAGTACTCTGACTGGCGATGGAAAGTAGCGTCAAATGTGCGTCTGTAATTGTCAATCCGCCAGCGAGATTAAGGCAAATTTCATTACCACGGGAAAACCGCATCTCCCGAAGTGGAATTTTACGGTGCAATAAAGAAAAAAAGGAAGTTAATATTAGCCATGTGCATGCGGCTATCAAAATATATACAGCGTGTGTACTTCAAACCGTTCTTAATGACTTATTTTAATATTATTTTTTAAGTGGCAGGCAAAGGTACCAAACCATAAAGCCTAGTCTGTTACGTACTTAATTCTTCGATCACTAATAAACAACATTATTAGCGAATATTGTGATGAATTTTATTTAATAAATTCGTCACAATATGTTAACGCGCCACATAGCAAAGATTTTGGAAGATTCGGAAGATAACTTAACAGTTTCCCTGTCCGCAAAACAGACACGATAGTTAAACAATCAAAATGTTCATATAGGATTCATGGGACAGAGAAAGGGTTTGGACAGTTGATAACAATAGAATCGTAAGCCGGGCAGCTTAAAATGTTATTTAAATGATAATACAAGAGCAATTATCTTCCGGTGCGGCGGTCAAGTTCCCACCAAAACTTTGGTGTGACGCCCATTAAGCAGACAAAATTTTTGAATTTGGAAGGTTCAATTCATCGCCAATTACAATACATAAAATATTTGGGTTAAATTACTTAGATTGAACAATGTTCTTATTTAACTACCTATTGTCCACGCTTCTTTCTCTTTTTGTAATTCAAGAATTGACTTTCGATACGTAACTGTAATTTAACAATAGTTCCTATATATTTTAATTCTATGAGTGATAGCACTGAAGCCGATATATTCTTTAATAGTATTATTAAGTTAAGCCAATTTTGGCAACAGACTTTCTTAATTGTTACGATAATACATAAATTATAAGTCTTTTTCATACTTGGTTAAGTTAAAAGGTAATTGTTGCCTGGGTTTATCGCAAACTTACTTAGCATCCGACTCTACCATTTTATTTTCTTATCTACATGTGAAAAATTTATAATATAGTTGACTGTAAATAATTGTCAGTTTTCCTAAATACAATTAAAAAAAGCATAGACTAAATTTTTCCCTCAACCGTTGGCATTGATCTCACATCCACAAAAGTTGATGTATCGTTTATTATATTTTATTTCTTTTTATTTCATTACATGCAGCCTTTATAGAGTCATTGTCATCACGACCTTGACCATTTTCATTGTCATTCTTTGTCACCAACAGAATAACCAATTGCAACTTTTAAAAGTAAATTATTTACGTGCATACTTAGATTTGTGTTTACTATAACGATACATTTCGTTTAATATATCATTAAATTATATACGCGACCAACTGTAATCGAACGCGATCGATTCTTAGTTCTCAAATTTTGTCAAGTACATATAACACTTAAAGCAGCGGATTTAACAAATTAAAAAAAAACACGTCGTGTAGTAGTGACGTTAGAGTCTGGTTTCTGGTGAAGTTAATGCTGTTAGCCTTTGGGTTTTTACCTATATTTTGGAACATATGGATACGTCAACAATGGAATTTCAAGTAGTAATGTTGTTACTAATTAAGTTCAAGGAGCGAATTCAATAGTAAGTTAGATTCATCATCAAAAAGAGCCCTTTAGAAGTCTACTGCTGAAAATAGGCCTAAAAATGCCGATAAGCACGGTCCTGAGATACATGCATCGACTTTTTTTGAAAAAAAAAAAAGCATACCAATAATGAAATTTTTTATAACTTTATATAATTCATAAAGTAAGTACATAAAAATTGGTGCAAAACTATCATCATATTCAAATTTTTGTTAATCATAAACATATCTATTTCATTACACAATCCATCCACGATATATTTGTTTACATATTTATTGACAACATATAATTTACATCCAGTAAGCTTTTGGAGAATTTGGTTTCAAAAATCATATAATAACTGTTCGGATCTGGTACTATAGTATGACATTATGACGTATAAACTGCCAAAACAAATGATGAAATTGAAAGAATTACACACCACGCAAGTGCGAAAGCATTTCGGAGGGCTTTATTGGACTAACAGCATTAACAGATCTCGTAGTTAGCTGATGACAATAAAAAGTAGTGCAGCAATGCAATATCAGCTCGATTACACATGACAACGAATATCACTCGTTACTAATAACACTTGTTTAAATATAGTAACCAGGTGTTAGTCAGTCCACTGTTACACAAGGACTTGTTGTAAGCTCTTAATATTGTTCAAGTGAGAATCGATGTTTTTAGTACACCTCGTTGACACCTACGCTACGTATATTTTTCCGACATCTACTAGGTGACACTGCGTAGATCCATAATATTTTAACTTCTAGAAAAATAAAGCTTTAAATTAGAATAAATTAAAAAGCAGTAAAGAAAGAAATAGAACTACACAGGGAAGTAAAAAGTAAAAAAAAAAACAACAAATTACGAATATTATGACTAGGTCACAGATTAATAAAACACAACATTGAGTAATATTGACAAAAAATGTAGACAGATAGATTACCATATGTTAGCATTAGCCACTCCAAATCAGTCACAGTTAGTCATTACGATGATTAATTGAAGAAACCCAGCTATTAGATACTACTGACGATCATTTGTTAAATCTACAAAAGGTTCTGTTACGTACATATAATGTGCTATTAACCACTCCAGCGAATTCAATGAGTATAGTGGTTATCTGATAATCAGTTAGTTACGGTTACTAAACATCCACTTTTATTAATAATTTGTCACGTATTAGAGCGAGTAAGAAAGGTTATACTAACACGTCTGGACCATGCTTTTTTTACAAGATTCTTTATATCAAAATTACTTCCATCAACATGAGAATTTTAAATGATTTTGGTCCAATCGAAGCAAAAAATAACGCCAAGGTAAAAGTAACTGGACATATAAATTTTTCAAAGGTTGTTTAAAAGAAATTTCCTTTCAAGGATAAGCTTTAGGATAAATTTATTACTTTTAAAGTTTACTGAATTCGAAAAATCAAGCTAGTTTTATACGAATATAAATCGTTTAAAACGAAAGGAGAAGACCTTGTAGAGATAAAAATAAATTGTTTCAGTGGATGAAAGAAGTAGGAAAACGTTCAGGTTTTCCTTCTTTATTACCTTCTATTGGACCAAATCTCATTTAATATTTCTCCCCTGCTCCCTTGTCCTATAAAACCGAGCATGGACTCACCGAATCGTTTCACGTGTACGTCTCTGTTAAAAGAGACAGATCTTTGTTTAGTCTCTTTGGGTTCCTTGGCTTCGCTATCGTTTCTTGTATCGTCTTTAGCTATCTTATCGCCATCAGTGGCGTTATCTGCCCTGATACCAATTTCATCTGACATCGGGTGGTGAGGTACCCGATTGATGGTACCTCGAATTTTCGGTTTTCGGCTACAATCAACACGGCAGTTTCGGTATCATCGATTAGATTATCTGTAAACAGTTTGCCGACTGAGTGGGACCGAACGTTAAGGACAAGGGGAATTAAAATATAAACTGTATCGAAATATTAATTAAACACTAGTGTAACACTAAATTAGAATTAAAGAGAAATAAAAACAATACTAACAATTGTAATATATAAATATATTTGATGGAATAAAACTAATTAAACGGATTTCATCGCATTTAATTTTAACTTTTTTAATTCCCGACGTTTTGGGCACTTTTCACCACCCATGGTCACGGAGTGGGGGAGGCGTGACTGAGGTGTTTAACGTCCTTATTAATTATATATTCAACTTTTAAATATTAATTTTTGGTCTTATCTACATAGACTGAGCTTACGGTATCTTGAAGTGTTGCAGTAGTATGATTGGGTTTGGATTTAATTTTACATATTAATTATTATGTGATCCCAAACAGATGGTAGTACCCAGTACTAGTTTTATTTTCAGTGAGATGTAGGTCTTTTATCTCACTAACAAAATGGTATGAATCCTTTGTGTGTGCTCTGGTATTTCCTTTCAGCGGTGACAGTATTTTTGCTAAACGTTGAGCCAACTTATAAGTCGGTGAATCGATCTGGCTCACTATGGAAAGTAGTGGAGCGTTCGATTTGTGTATTTTGGATAACCCATACAACTTCGGCGGTTTGGTACATGGTGGTATTATCGAATTTACGTTGAGATTTAATTTTACGGAATATTTCTTCACTACATTACTAGTTGTTTTAAGTACATTAGTCACAGGGTCTGTTTTGGCATTTTTGTACGCGCTTTCGTCCGATAAAAGTTGTTGTATTTTAAAATTATAATCTGACGTATCCGTTACTACCGTAGTATTTCCTTCACCTGCGCGAAGAATCGTAAGCTCTGGTCCGTTGCGTAAGTTCTACAACACTTTAAACTCGTCTCTGTGGAGATTTATTATTGGCGCTGAACTTTGACGTAGCAAGGATGAAATGTCTTGATGTTATGGGCACCAAATCTTCCTTCTCTACATTGTTTTAAAGAGACAATACTCAAAATACAGATATTTTTTTATTTTGCTTTAATTCTAATTTAGTGTTACTAATGAAGCTGTTTTGAATCAGCTTATATCAATCAGATAATCAACAACACTAGTGTTTAATAAATATTTTGCCACAGTTTATATTTAAATTCCCCCAGTCGTTAACGGACGTTCCGATATTAGGAAGGATTTACACTAATGGCCTCAACTGGAGCTGTCTCGCCAGCAATGCAAAGTCAGGAATTTGCATTCACAAAAAGCAAAAATTAGAGACTTTTTAGGTGCTAATTAGGTGCCAAGTTTAAAAATTTGTGCTCTAATATTCTCACCGCAACAAACTGTTGAAATTTGCGGTGCTGACAAAACTTATAGCTCGCAAGGCAATGACGATAAGGGATATACGATAAATATTAATAGCAAGGAATTAAGTGCTAAAAGATGGTTGAGGTCGCATGTAGGTGACGATTATATTCTGAGAACTATCGTGTCTAGGACCACCATTACCGTACTATAAGACATAAACGGCATTTTTTATTCTTAATCAGTTATATATTATAGATAAGATAGGTATCTGTACTAAAGCCGAATGAGAACGCCCCGAATCTACGTAGACATGTATGCCCTACCCCTAGTCTCTTTTGTAAAGCTGTAACCGGTGCGGATGGAGAGAAGCCCCCCGCCTGCTGTAGCAAATCGCAGGCATCTGTGGCCGTAGCGGCTGAGGCTGGTTACTGAAGGCGACCAACAATCCTGTGACATGGTACGCAAGGGCGAAGGGGCTGCACTTACAGCAGCGCTGAAGCCGTGGCCGAAGTAACAATGACAATATTCGTGTGTAAAGAGTTAAATTGTGTTTTTAAAAACACTTCTTTAGTACTTACTCGTAATTATCAAATTGAATATATACCTGATTTTGATTTTATCCTAATTTTCAGACAACCTGATTGTTTTGCTTTGTTCTGAATACGTTTTGCCAGCAACGGAAATTTCAACAGTTCGTTGCGGTGGAAACTTTATAGCACTTACTTAATTTATTATATATATTTAGAATATATAATAAATTAAGTAATTATAATATGGTTAGCATAAACTTTTAAAAACTTGGCAGCTAATTAGCAATTAAAAAGCTCCTAATTTTGGCTTTTTCTAAATATAAGTTCCTGACTTTGCGTTGCTGGCGAGACATAACTCTCAACTGGTACGTGTATGAGCTAACGCATTTTTTAAATTTTGTTAAACGACATTTGCATATAAAATAAACCCAAGAAATGAAGTTTCTACACTACGTAATATAAATAATTGAACATTGTTATAAAAATCTTTTGATTGGGTTTCTTATTTGGTTTTTAAGACGGAAGCATGTCGTCAAGCAGTGATAAATATAAAAAATAATTATCATCAAGTAGTAATGATAATCTATATTGTGTAAAAATATTCTATTTCATTCTATTTTAACTATAATTAATTTAATTGAAAATATAAACCATAAAAATGTTATCTTGTGCAATGAAATTTTTTTGCATATAAAAGCAAACAAAATAAAACCTCAAACTAAAAGTATTTAAACACCAAGCAATTGTACTAAGACATGATAATTGACTATTGTATTATACGAGTATATTTAGAACAATGTGAACGAATGACTTGTATTACAAACCCATTGTTTTGTTACCTGTGGTCAATATTAGCTACTTTATGATTACCAGGAAGTGTCAGACTGCAGTAGTCTAGCGCATTTAATGACCAAGTGATCTTATCTATGTTAAGAACCGGTAGATTTATCCTTTTATAATTCTAAGAAATATTAATGTAAAGTTGAGAGGTGTAGATTGGTAATATATTACTAACCTCCTTATTTGGTTCCTAAACATGAGTGCAGCTGAGTGTTGGTTTTAAACGTGCGGCGTGTAACGTCGCATTTCGTTCTGAAACAAAAATAAAAACAGAGTTAGTATATTTATCATTACCATTAGTATCATAATCCCAATGGATTAGTTACTTGAAGTAGCAAAAGGCGGGTCATACAGCTCCAAGATCCAACAATTGAAAATAGGTTCTAGAGTTGAAATCTCGTAACATGAAACAGAGCGTTTCGCGGCCCTCCGCTAGATGGAGTGACTACCTGGTAAGAGATTCAAGAAGCGTAAGGATGCGGGGGATCAGAACCGCGTTTTGTGGCATTATTTGGAAAAGACTATAGGCTATGTTTAGAAGTGGGATTGTGGAGGGGTGTAATGGTGAAGATGATATGATCTTTTTAGCCAGTTAGAGTTCACTGGTGGACATAAGCCTTCTCCATTGCTGAGAAGTTGTGCCTTTTCCGTCACTTTTCCACACTGCTGTTGGCCAATGAACTAGGTTTACGTCTGACGTAATACTATCTCGGTTATACGTCAACTAGAAGAAACTATAAGATTCTTCTGACATATACTCGTCTTCTACGATATGTACATACGGGATGTACATATATGATGATATTTACAAATTCTAGACTAATTTATAGTTAGACTAATTTTTAGGTTATTTGTAGTTACATATACTTACTTACGTAAGTGTATTTATATGTATGTTTTTATATTTATATTTATGTATTTTTATATTTTCATGTTATACGGCACCAGATTCAGTTTCTCTGCTTAGCTCGTGGTTTACTACTCGTATAAGAGAATTCCTATAGTCATTAACAGAATAGAGTAAAATGATTTTTATTCAACATAAATACAAGATTATTACTTAATATTTATTGAAGGTCATTTTTTATTTTTCACTGGTTTGGAAAACTCGTCTGTCCTGGGAAGAATTAGCAAGAAACCCGGCGAGATTATTTTTTACACATGTGTACACTAAATGTACTACTAAAATAATAAATATAAATGTGTAATGTTGCAACAGACTAAACATTGATTGTTTTTATTTCGTTAGCTAGTTTCGTTATCTCCTTTATAGTCATTAATCAAAATTCATTACGATACACTCGGGTTATTGCTCAAAAGACTATCATCAGGTACACGGCACCAACGTAGCTCAGATATTAATCTAAACATATTAATATCAATCTGAGATACGGTGGCCATCCGCCTCAGTTTAAAAAAAAGGTTTCTGCACACTAGAATTTTCACCTCTAACGTGCCAGCGTTTAACATAATATATACACTGCACAAAGACAAACATCCAGAACCAGAGCAATCATTTGTAGGCAATAAAATATTTTTTCAGTGCGGGATTCAAACCTGCGGCCCACAGTGGCGCTACCAAATAACTACTTCGCAAACTAGCCGTCATTCCACGAGACACCGCAGTAACAATTGTTGAAACGAAAATGAAAATCTCGTAAACAAGTCTAATGAGTCGCGAATGTTTCATATTTCTTATGTTTTAACAAGTGGTAAAATTAAAAAAAAAATAACAACTGACTTCAATATAAATGAAATTAGAACATCATCAATGTAGTTTAAGTCAATTAAATAAGCATTATTAAGGATAACTCAAAAACAACAAGCCAGATCTTGATCACATTTGTTTGGGACCACATGAAAAGCTTCAGCTTTTAAATGAAAAGAATCGTCAAAATCGATTCACCTAAGAAAAAGTTCTGGGGTAACACACATAAAAAACATACAGTCAAATTGAGTACCTCTTTCTTTTTTAAGTTGGTTAAAATATTCTTTAAATATGCAAGAACTAAAAAATGACATTTGGCTGTGAAAGGGAACGGTGTAAGAGTAATCTCTATTCTATATCAACCCCTGGGCGTCGTAGCAGGCGACAGAGGAATGTGAGCAGGAGATGGGTAGCAGCATCTTCTTGAAAATACCTTTACAAGTAATAAAAATATCAGTTGTCTACCAATCGTGGCAACTATGGCAAATATCTATGAGATGTGGGGAGG